AAATAAGCTAACTAAATATTATATCTATTTTTGTTTTTCGTTATTTAACCATAACCCTTCATTCTTTCTCTTTCTATTTTATTCTCTTTTATCATTTTGATTCTGAAATATTTTCTAATTTTTTTAAAAGAAATTAACTTTCAAAGAATTTATTCAAGAGATTGTGAAATTTTATTGATTACCGAAAGTTTTATTAAGAAGGTGACACCCAGCCATGGCGATTTGGAACAAATTGACCAACAAATCAAAAACTAAAAAAAAAAGAATTTTTAAGATCAAATCATGAATTAAGACTGAAAACTACCATATCTAGATAAATATGTATCAAAAATAAGTGAAGAATCTAAAGAATCATGGAAAATAAGCAAGATAAACGGAGATTGGGATTTCTGATCGACGATGGCTAAGGAAGAAGATGGGGTTATTTTCGTAATTTGGCAATCTTAATAAAAATAATTAATGTACACTACTATATTTTGTTGTACACATATACACTACCATATTTATTGTACATATGTACTATTGTATACATGTACACTACTAACATTTAATATACACTAACAGATGTACATATCTTTACAGCATGTTGGACATGTAATATGTATCTCAAACATATGTGTACATATAAATATTTGATATACATAACGCTCAAGCTTGTAGATTTTTGTGCAGGGTAGATTAAGAGATGGATGATTCAGATGCTTTCTAGCGTTGATGACATAATGCTGGTGTATGTGATTGTAAAGTTTCGATCTTGGAATCAAGTTATTCCTCTTTTATATGATTGATGATATATTTGAGATTTGTCACATCTTTTTAGTTTATACCTCTCGTAAAGTTTTCATCTTGAATCAAGATATTTTGAAATGTCATTACTGTGTACACATATATTTCATTTAAAATATGATACAAACACAAATAAAATAATAAAATTTCACGATATTTTGAAATGTCCATGTGTACGTTATTTACACAAGTTGCATAGAGGTTGTGAACTTTAGCGATGTTTACACTGTTGTAAAGGTATCATTTTGTACACTATTGTTACTATATCCGTGTACACAGTTGTAAATGATATATACATGTACACCAAGATGATATCTAATGTTCATGAGATTTTAAAGATATCATTTGTACACTGATGTACTATATCTATGTACACAGTTGGTGTACACATATAGATGTTAGTATACGCATGTACATGTTTAAGAGATAGATTTATCTTTATAGGTATAAGGACAACGGAGCATGGTTTACGTGAATTAAACAACATGATTATATATGTACATGTGTACAAACACAACATGTGTACATCTTTGAGATATGTACATGAATTAAACAACATGATTATAAACTTCTTTTGAAAGTATATATGTTAAACATGCACCTTTAGATGTGTTTAAAAAGGAACGAAAGCTTTCCAAGACCTAGCTTTCAATGCATAACCATAGGTGCTTGTGGAACATTTTCAGTAAATCTCATCCCATCGATTTCAATATGTGAGCATACTTCCATGTAGAAAGATTGTTGTTTCTGTACAATGTGATTTTGTTAGGGTGTACACAAAAAAGCGTGTTAGGGTGTATACAAAAAAGAGTGTACATGTGTACAACGCGAATAAGTTTCGTGTAAAAATTTTAATATTTTTGTTTTTTATTAGTTATGAAAAATTACAAAAATAGCCTTGTCTTCTTCCTTGGCCACTGTAATTTTTGCCTGAACGAAGAAGCTTGAACTATGACACGCCGAAAAAGAACTAAGAACGTGACGAACCGGTTTCAATCACCGTGAGTCACCACAAACAGTTTGGAAATCAAGCATGGCCAAGGTTGCCAGCGTTTCCGGAGCAAAAGCAAAGGGTAGTGAGAGAAGCCCTCTATGATTGAGGCGATCTCCATCGTTGACGTTTAAGATTTCCGTTGTTGATGTTACAGTCATATACAACCCCCTTATATCGCCTTCAAAACTATAACTTGACATATCTTAAAAGATAGACAAGAAAATCTAAATAATGGATAACTCGAAATTTTAAAAACCAAATAAATTGTAACAACAAATTTCATTTTACAAAGAAAATAGAAAATTTAGGAAGAAGAAAAGGAAGAAGAAAGAGGAAAAAGAAAGATGAAGAAAAAAGAGAAATGGACCCACTTTTAATTGACTCATTATAATATAACTAAAAAAAAGACATGTTAGGATAAAGTGTGTTAGTAGAAGAATGTGTTTTTTTGTGTAATAAAAAAAGAGAAAACTGTTGAGTGATATATTTTCTCTATATAAACGTAAAATACCTTTTCTCATACATATCTCCAGCAAACTAAAATAATTTCAAAACTAAACGATACAAAAGTTTATGCTATGTTTTGATTCTGCTTTTTCCGAATTTTTTTAATATGAACGTACTACATACACCACCATTAATACCTGAAAATTGTTGAAGCCCTTCAACAAATCTTGAAGATTCTCCAAAATCACCATCCCAGTCTCAGTATCTTTTTTTTTTCCCAGTCTCAGTATCTTCCCGAAGTACAGATAAGAAAGAACTGGTGGAGATCAAAACTGAAATTTAGGAGAGTAAAAAAAGATATGTTGTTTTGCTTCTTTGATAATGGAGAAAATAGAGATAAACGAAAGAAAAAAACAGAACATAAAGTTGTAGAAAAAAAATCATATAAGAAAACAAACGGTTTGAGAACGTGGTCAGTTAACTTAAACGTGGACGAAATATTCTGGAAAAGGATAAAAATCACTGAAAATTGAGATCTAAATATTTTTTCTACTTGAATTAATTATTTTTTTGAAACCAATTTCCACTTGTCACAATTTTATTCGTCAAGCGACTTACGCTTTAGTACATAAAGGATATAAAGAATTACATTTTCCGTATTTTTTTTTAATTTGAAAATTTTCTCTTCTCGAACAAAAAATAATATTAATGATTTTTTCAACTTAAAGCAGCAAAATTTAATATTATAATTTGATCTTAGAATAAAAACATATTATATATATTATTTTGAATATAAAATAAATCTCCAAATGTATTATAAAATAAAATATATTTTAATATAAAATACTTTTAGTGTAAACTCACATGCCCGTAGGACGGGCCAACCTCTAGTTTTATAATAAATGTAAGTCTTTATACACATACACCAAAAAAAACTTAATTGATTGATAAAAAGTTTGACACTAATCTAAAAACTTAATTAATCAACGTCTAAAATTATTTGTTAATATAGTCTTACATAGTAGATTCAATATTAAAATTAAATTTTACAGTTTACAACTCATGTATACCCACTACCACATTTAAAACTTGGTTAAGGCATGATGAGGAGAAAATTTTAAAATTATCTAAAAACTTAGGTACTTTTTAAATAGTTTACACCCACTACCACATTTAAAATTAGGTTAAAGCATCTTGATGAAGAAAATTTAAAGAATCTAAAAATTTAAGGGCTTATTGAATTGATGATTTGGAAGAATTCCTTTTTTTTTTTCTCTTCTTCTCTTATTGAACTTGGTATTCATAAAAGTTCTTATAAATCCAAGCTTATTGAGTTGATTACTTATTTACATTCTATAAATCTGCCTTTATTGGAAAATTGGGATTTGTCAATAATAGTTATCAAATTTAGGCGTGATTATCTAAGAAATGATTTGTAGTTTAAAGTAATAGTTATCAAATCTGCCTTTTTTGGAGTTTAAAGTATTTTTCATGTTTTGGGTATTTTTCATATTTTTGAATATTTTGAATCTTTTTAATCCTAAATACCCAAACAAATATGTTCAGATCTGATATACGTACCATTGAGTTTGTGGAAATATTTGAAATATATACTGCAAATCTTTATTTATATTCATAGGTTATAACCCATTTTATGGCTTGATATTGTAAAAATTATAACCAAAGAAAAAAACATTTCAGCATCCTGGTTAGGCATGAAACTATAAACCGACAACCAACAGTGAATCAAAAGCGAAACAAAAATAAATTCAAAACTAAATTGATATTCACAAATAACTAAGCGGTTCCTGTTTGGTTATCATAGTTAGTTTGAATCTGTTTAGATTGTTGAAAAAAAACTAAGCGGTTCGTATATATCTATTATCTAAAACCGAAAATCAGAATCTAACCTTAAGAAATTTTTTTTTTTTGATAAATATAGATTTCAAATATAGTGGTTCCTATGATTAAAGAGATATATAAATTTTAAAAATGTGATTTTTCGAAAATATATTGGTTCCCATACTCTATTGAAAAAGTTAATATTAATCAACTAATGTAAGTATTTCAAATTTTAATAACAACGTAATTTTAGATAATAATTTTCCGATCATAAAGATATTTAACAAAACTGTGAAATTGTTTTTAGAACTTATTTCTGAAACATTTAAAAAGAAACCATAGTAATTTTCTATTCTAAGAGACACTTAATCATATACAACACGAATATGTTTGCATGTCAAGTAATTGCAATAGGAGGTGGACCCCAGAAGTTAACGTATTTCATGTCTAACCTATGACATAATTAAGAACAATATAATATTTAATAGTTTTCATGTGAATTATTTATTTTAGATGTCTTACCATTTTATAGTGCAAATGTATCGCAGTATTAATTTTTTTCTTTTAAATTTGTTTTCCATTTTAAGTGTTTTATATATATTTTTCTTTAAATTTACATTGGAGATGTATCATATATTTGTCATAATCTATTTATTAGTTATTCTTTTATTGTTTCCATATTTAAAAGTGAAATTTATTACGTGTATTTGCATTATGGTAAATGAATATATTTGATGAGATATTGATTACAAATGATTTTTCTTTTTATATTGTTAAAATACCATAGTTTATTTCAAAATGCTATTCATGTTTTCAAAGAATATTAATGTATAGTGCTATCATTGTTTCCAAACAAATCTAAAATGTACTTCAATTTTAATAATATAGATATTAGACAGATATCCAATGGGATCATTTTGCCGATAATGTTGCTCTTAAGTCCAACTTGGGAAACTTATTTTATTATTTAATATGATATGAAACCAAACCAATGCATCCTTGATTGGTTGGCAAAAACAGGTTTCATTATAGTGTCCCTTTTTTTATTTGATTACTTGCGAAGCAAGTAAGACGCTTTTTCCTGAATAACCTTCCATGTCTCTTTCACGTGCTTCTCCTCTGTCAATGGCGCTCCTATGGCGCAACGTAGAACGATTCTTCCCGACAAAGCCTTTTTCCAACGCAAAGTTATGTCTTAATTAAAGAACATCATCCAACAGAGAAGAAAGAATAAGAAAAGAGACGGTACGGTACATACAGTGTGAGAGATGAAGAGTTTCCCTGAGGAATTTACTGCCTCTAGGAGCTCGAGGTTTCGACCATTACACTTCTTTTCATCGTTATCGACAGGAACCATACGGAAGCAGACGAGAGCAAAGATCCGTGGGGTGATAACCTCGAAGTCAGGATCTTGAGAGACAAGTTGTTCGAAAACTTTAGCCAGTTTGATATGGTTTCTTATATAGTTCTTCAACGTCTCAGCTCCATAGAGCCTTAGAACCATCCATATTTTCAGTGATCTGTTTTAAAAACACACACAAACACAATCTCACCATATATATGCATGCAGATTTTCCTGCAAAACTAAAGACTTTAGTCTATATGAAAGCAAAGAACCTGAATCTTCTTCCGAGAGGGATTTGCCAATCTTTGTAATCAAAAACCAAGTTTGCCTGAGAGGCCTGCCAAAAACAAAACAAACAAAAAACAAAAGTTGATAATAAGACTAGTAAGATTTGAGTGAGAAATCAAAATCATTCTTACTTTGTTTTTGAGAAACTCTGGATTTGCTGAAAGAGCTTCAGTGAGAGCATACTGATCCTGTTTATCAAAATATCAACATGTCTTTTTCATTACACGAGGGGAAAGTGAGACTAGAAAGAAGGGAACAATTATGTACCTTCACCCAAAGTAGAGAACAATCAAAATTAGTGAGGAACCATTTGTGAGCATTCATGTTAAAAGAGTCTGCAGTTTCAACTCCGTCAATGTACTGTCTATACTCTGGACATATACATGCACTTCCAGCGTATGCTGCGTCCACGTGAAACCACATCTCATTCCTCTGAGAATGCAGTCAAGAGAAATAGCATCAGTTTCTATGCTATTAAGTTCTCTGTTAAGCTTTTGAATGTGAATTAAAAAACCTTTGCAATCTTTCCCAGTGCGGCTAGTGGATCAACTGCTGTTGACGAAGTTGTTCCAACCTAGAAATAACGAAAGAATCTTTCAGAAAATAAGCATGCTTTAAAGGGTAAGTAAGTAACAGGTTGGCTAGTGCTTACATTGCCACATAAGAAGAACGGAATCAATCCAGCTTCAAGATCTCGAGAAACGGCTTCTTGAAGCAATTCTGGACGCAGAGCGTAATTTGTAGAGGAATCTGCTTCCAGCACCCTGCAATTCTCTTGATGGATTCCAGCTATCTGTCAAGAACAAAACCAGAAGTTAGCTTCTTTTAAGGTAGGTCCTAGGCAAAGCTAAATGAAACATTTGCCTAGGGTCTCCAAACTTTTTGAAGAAAATTACATAGATATAGATCCCCAAATTTATTTTAAAAAATATTGAAATCTTGACTAAGTCACCTAGCTTGCAAAATCTCAGGACCGACCCTATTTTAGAAATTTTATTTGATCCAAATATGGAAAAAAAAAAAAAATCACCTGACAAGCCTTCTGTAAAGCTGAATGTGTCTGGTCAGAGGAGTAGACAACAAGCTTCCCAAGCGCGTTCTTGCCGATGCTTCTTAAGACCTTATCGCGGGCAGCAATCATGACAACAAGAACAGCTTCACTAGCTGACCCTTGGATGACTCCACCTCCATTTCCTACAATAACAACTAAGCTAAGTAGGTCTTAAGCAAATTAAAGGATTATTCCGACAAAATTGTAGAGGTATATATAACCTTTGGAGAGAAACTGCTCGGGTAGGTTGAGCAGTTTTGCAAGCCAATCAAGAACGATCATTTCGAGCTCAGTGGCAGCTGGAGAAGTGACCCAACTAAAACCAACAATTCCAAGACCAGCACTCAACATCTCACCCAAGAACCCTGCAACACTGCTGTTAGAAGGGTAATAAGCAAAGAAGTTGGGGCTTTGCCAATGCGTTACTCCAGGCAATATCTTAGTTTTAACGTCTGCAGAACAAAACAAAACTCGCATCAGATATGTCTATGCTCAACCAAAAAGTATCAGAAATGGTCCAAACAAAAATCTAGAAGTGGATATTCACCATCAAGAACTTGTTCAACTGTTTCAGGATGGTCAGGTGCTGTATCAGGCAAAAGGTTGTGAAGATAACCAGGCTGTATCAAGTATGTATCAACATTGTGTCAATAAACCAACAAAATTATAGCAAAACATAATGTGACGACGATGCAAACTTTGGTTAGACCCTTGACATAGCAAATTTTACACAAACTATGAAATTTTTTTTCAAGCACAATCTGAGTTAATACATGACATCGAACAGATTGAAAAGAAAGTGACCTGAACTTGGCTAAGGACAGGGAAAGATTCGATGGTTTTGTAATAATCAGCAATGAAGTCCACCATTCGATGTCCGTACTCTCTCAGTTGCTCAGAGTCCATCGGCTTCAACACGTTCCTACTACCATTTTCCCTGTTCCATTAGAAGAAAAACAATTACTCAGACAAAGATTCGTGTGAAATCATTTCCCAACTTTCAAGAACCTACATTTCTGTGTTTTCTTGCGTTGCTTTGAAATATTTTTATGTCTCAGTAGCTTCTCTGAATGGTTTGGGCTTCAGCCTGCGTAGGTATCTCTTATTTATAGGAATTCTGAATGTTTTTTTTTATAAATTAAATGTTTTTTTGTACATTTTGAAATGTTTTAAACAATTTAAATAACTTTGATAAAGAACAAAATAGTATTGAATGACCCCCTGTCCAAGGTATTATGTTGTCCACCCAATTCGTTATCAAGAGAGTAATAAGAAATGGTTGTACTTGTGTGTGGTGTGGTGTAGTCTGTCAACGTTGCAACTAGTGTACTTTGTTAAACTGTTTGGGGCTAGACTTCTAAAGTTCGTTAGACTCTTGTTTTTCTTTCTACCAACGACATATCATTTTCTTAAGATAATTTAAGTGAATGTTTAATACAGCTTAACTCTTGATTACAGTCCTCGTTCTATTAAAATTAAGGGAAATTGGACTGTATGACGTAAAAAAAAAGCACAATTCACCAAATAGCCAATTGACCTAACTTTTCTATATACTCGCTCCCATTTATATAATAATGCTATTTTGCCCCTGAAGACAACTGGTACCACCGGAAGAAAAAAAAAATAAAATTCCTAATTATTAATAGTCAAAAGTTATTTGTGGCGTACTTAGATTCACATCATCTCCTTTAGTTTTATTTTGTAATGTTTGAGAAAGTGAAAGGTTTTTGTCGACGGTTTGCTTCACCTCTTCGAGCCCACCGTTTTGTTGTGTACCATCGCCACCATCAGCCTTATTTAAGTTTATTCACTTTCTCGAAGTGCGTTGCAAAGGGATATCGTCTCCGCTTCTGAAATCGATTGTGAAAGACATCGTTGCGAGAATGAGAAGCCCGAGTTCTCCTCCTTCACATCGGCGATTCGTCAAAGATCTGTTGCAATACTGTAAGTTCTCAGCTGTGTGCCTTTGATTCTAGTCTTACGATAATCTTCTCCCCTATTTAATATAATTTGTTAAATCTAGCCCATTTTTTCCGTTGCATATCAGATTTGACAGACCAAGGTCAATGAATTGATTTAGGTTTGAATTTTTCCTGGTTGGTCATACTAATATGTTTATTGCGAAGTCTGGGGTAATCATGTTTGGAATCAAAAGAAACACATTAGGGGTAGAACTATATTGAATGACTATACTATGTGAAATGGAATAGCTTAAGACTACGCTATGAGAAATAAAATAGTTTAAACTGTTTAGTACTGCAATACCATTCTGTTTTACTATTTTTCTATGAAGTAGCGTAGCAAAACTTATATAGAACTTCAATTTCATTCCATATAACAATATGTTTCATGCTATACCTATGAATACTATACTATATAAAATAGAACATATTATCTTCCATTATGTATATAGGCTAATCCGCTCATCGCATATGTTCTTTGTAATTGCAACAAAGAAACATTTAGATATGCATAAAATACACATATTATTTGGCTATTTCATATGCTGACATTTCCGTAGAACTTGTGACATAACCTTCTTTTTCCTTTTCATTATGTTTGTCAGGTTTTTCAAGGATGAGTTCGGCCTTCTAACTAGACTGTTTTAAACAGGATTTTAACCAACTGAAAAAATAGTTGGCTATCATGGCCAGGAAACAGATAAAGGTATTGCGTGGGGGAAGGGAAATGACAAGCCAGCCATATGGGATGTTTTGTTTCATGGGGAGGAAAAGCCCACAACTAGCATTTTTGGTCCTGGTGGAAGGGTTTAGGGTTTAGCTTCTATATAACATGGTTATTCTGTAAAAGTACATGTTTCATGTTTCTATTATATCTGACTTACGTAGCATGGAAAGTCATCTAATTTTCATTCATGTTCTATATCGAACGGTTTAATGTCACTTTCTGTAGCTTCCGAATTCATACTTGTATTTAATATTTATCTTCTTTCTATTCTACCCACCGAATATAGAATATAAATACTTATTCTTGTTATTTCCGTTCTATCTCGTACAATTTAGTCTCACTTAATGTAGATTACCACATAATATTAGTATTTCCTATATTCATATATGGATATTTGGATTATGGTTTATAGTCCCGCGTTGGGTTTAGTGATTAGTTGATATGGTTTAGTTTATAAACGAAATGTATTGAAACTGGGTCAAGCATTACCACGTCCATGAAGGTTTAGTCATATCAACATTTGAGATACATGGGAGATTGTCTTTAGATTACAACTACATTTTCAGATTTTCTATTCTATATGCCTCATGTAGAATGGAAATGCATCTTAATATCATTTCAATTCGTTTATGGAAGATTGAGATTAATATTGGATTAAGGTGTAAATTGCCGTGTAGGGTATTGTGATTAGTGGCTAGGGTTTAATTTATGGAAGATTGGAGTTCACATTGGATTACGGTACATATTTATGTGTATGGGATACTCTTATCTTAAAACCACATGTTTATTCTATTTTAATTTCAAATAGTATAGATAACTTACAAGATGTTACTACTCTGATTGGTATGTTTTTGTGTATTTGGCCAGTGTATATTTGGGTTTGGGTTTATAGTCTTAGAGAATATGGATTTGGGTTTAGAATTTATGTCTAGGGTTTAGGATTAGTAGTAACTGTTTCTGTTACTCATATTTTGTAATCACAAGTCAATTGTATTTGTGACTTTCAAATCGTATAGTACACCATGTTTCAAATAGTATAGTACACAATGCTAATATTCTTCTTTGTATGTTATAATGTGTTTAGCCGGTGGGGTATTTTTGGGTTTGAGTTTAGAGAACATGGTGTAGGGGTTATGTTTAGGGTGTTTGTTTATTTGTAGCGTTATGTAATCATATTTTGATTTCACAAGTCTATTATATTTTTCTTTTATTTAGTATAGACATGGTAATATTCTTCGTTTTATGGTATAATGTATTTGGCCGTTGGTGTATATCTGGTTTTGGGTATCAGAGTCGGCAGTCCGTCTCTGTTTTCACCTCCGACGTCATTTGATTAGATGTGGTGGTGAAGGTAATGTGGTGTGTGTAAGGTTACATCGCTTCTTGTCTTGTCAAGTTCCTCCATAGCCGTAGATACACCGTTAAGGCATCTGTCCGAGACCCCAGTTCAGTACCCTCTTCCCTTCTCTCTAGGGTTCACAGATTTGTCATGAGATTAGAATTTTGGATTTGGGTTGTTACTACATATCTGTGAGCTTGGATTCTCTTCTTGTAATAGTGTGAATGTTCTCAATTTTTGGTGTTTAGACAAAGCTACATCTTAAAAATTGATACTTTTGTATGATCGCTTGATTACTATGCCTATTATTGTTAGAAAACAGAGATTTCATCACGGCAGTCAGACCGTAATTTGGGTGTTGTTCTTAATCTTATATTGTTCCTCTCCAAACCTTGTCTATTCCATATGATTCAAATAGTTTTTTTTACCAGCAAACAGCTATGAACATATTTAAGGTAAAAATGACATAGTATGGTTGGCAAATGGTATAGCATCATGAGAAACAGATGAATACGTTAAAAAAGTGGAAGACTCCATTTATTGTAACTGTGTTCTATTCTGATCCACATATTTACCCTCCACAGTAAATATCATGTGGTTACTTTTTAACAGACATGTCTTCTTCCTTCTCATTAATATCTGCACAGTACATGGTTAATATCATCTATTCCTCCTTTCTACAACGTCATCTCTTTCTCTCTCTGTCACCGAAGACTTGTAAGAAGGAGGGTTAAAACCGGAGAAATTGAGACATAATTGTCATGGATTTAATTATGTCAAAATCATGTTCATTCACTTAATTTTATCTCCAATCTTAGCTATTTCGCAAATTAACCCTAAAATTAATCCAAGATCTATCTTTCTTCTCTTTTTTTTTTTTTTTTTTTTTTGTCTTTTCATTTTTCTTTCCTTTTTTTTGGTTTACATATTTTTGCGTCTTTTCATATTGTGTGGTATTTCCGTTCCGTCGGTATCTTCGCTTCTTGAATTCTTGTTAGTGGTTCTGTAGATTTCTTTTGTTGCAATTGTCATTTTTAAGGGTTTCTATTGCTCTTGCCACTGGTCCCTTCTCTCTAATTTGTATGTTTTTAGGTTGCTTGTACTGTTGTTTCTATCTTGGTTTGGAAAGTGTTTCCCTTAGTAGCTTTGCTAACAACGAAACATTTTATAGGGTGTTTGTCTTTATTTTACCTCTAGGAAAGGGAATTGAAGCTTCGGCTATATGTAATGATTGCTTAGTATTTTTATTTTCGGTTTGCTTATTATAACAATGTTGTTTTAAACATTTGGTTTTGTTATTATGCATATTGAATTTTTACTCTATTGTCTGAGATAAAGTTATTTATAAAAAAGCTTTAGTAGACCATTAAAATTGAAAAATCCTTAAAAAGCTCAAGAAGTGTTTGCATTAAAATTAAATATCTATCTATAATAATAAATGAGATTTTCCATGGGGGCAAAACAAGCCACGTGTCATCTTCATTAAAGTTATTCTCGAAATAATTCTTATTGGGTCATTCTGGGTTTTAAGAAATACTAGATTTTGACCCGTGCTTTCAAAACGCGGGTAATATACTGTTTAATTCTGAGTATCCGGATCCTCGAGTCGGGTTTGGATTGAGTTTTGTCGGGTTCATGTCTTTCGGGTCTTAAAAAGTTAGACCCATATAAGTATCTATAATTTTTCGGGTCGATTTCGGATTAGGTCTTGTCAGGTTTGTTGGTTCGGGTATATTATCGGGTCGGTTCGGGTATTTAGGACCCGAAAAGGATCCGAAAGATCCAAACTGGATCCCAAAATCCGAGAACCCTTAAAAGGCCCGAAAAACCGCAAAAAATCCGAAATTTTATCCAAAATCAGACCCAAAAATAAAAAATATACCCGGAATTTTACCCCGATACCCGAATTATATTTTTTTGAAATCTAAAAGTTTACCTAAAACCTAATATTATATTCGAAAATCCAAATCTGAAACTTTAAAAAATACCTGAATTATCAAAAATATATCTAATCACCTAAATATATCTAATATATACCATAATTTGTGGATACTTAGAATACCCGATCGGGTTTCTAGTAGGACCCGGACGAACCGAGACCTGCGGATCCAAACAAAAAATACCCAACATATACTTTAGCAATGACCCGAACCTGGACCTGGATCTGTATTTTCGTGTCGGTTCTTGTTCGGGTCTGTGTCAAATACTCAGACATACTTCTTTTGATAAATTTGTAAACTTACAAATATATAATTTTTTGTATAGATTTGAAGCCCATTTCGTTGCAAATAAATGTTAAAATTATTGGGCTTTTAATTGGCGATTTTCAGTTGGGCTTTTAATGGATGATTTCATTAAAAATAAAAGGAAGTGGAATGTTTTGTAATTTCCTTACAAAATCAGGGGTAGATTCATAAGCAGTCATCTGCTTTAATAGTATAGATTTTGTGGCCTTTGGTATAACATGATTTTCGGGTTTCTATAGTTTTTTATTTTGTCTCAGCCCATTATACTCTTCGTGATCCCCGACCTAACTCTCCGTCTTCCCTGACCTCACTTGAAAGCTCAAAAGCTATCCTTTCATCATCTTCGGCGTTACGAAGATCCACATAAAGCTCCCTTATTGACATATTCCTTATACTATGTAACATCATAATGACATAAAGCTCAAGTGTTTTCTCTTATGTTTCTATGTGTGTCTTTATACTTGATGCGAGAGGTGTTTTAGTACGGTTGTGGGTCTGAAAAAACTACACCAGCAGGAAGAGTACTTGGATTTCCAGCGCAACATTTTTTTCTTTTGTTTAACATTTTCTGTGGGCATCCTGATTGTAACTTTCTACTTAATTGGGTTTTTATTTTCTTTTACATATAAGCACAACCAATTAGAGGATCGCTAGAGGCGAGGAGCTAGGTCCTATCTCCGAAGTTTTTATCGCCTTCCACCGCTTCTTCTCACATCATAGACCATTATTGTCAACGGTTCAATGCCACGGCGGTGAAGAAGTTTAATAGTTGGGAAGATTGTTGTTGGGAAGACGGATATGGATGAGTTCGGAATGGGAAGCCCAGCTGAAGCTTTCTTCCTTTCAGGCAACAAATCTTAACTCTTTATTGTTGGGTAATTTGTGATGCTTGAGTTTCGATTTTAGCTTATAGGTAACTGCGAATTCTTGGGACTTAACACGTGTAGAAGGAAGTTCATCAGGAGGATTGGCAGCAGTTGTTGCAGCAATATAATACATGGTGTCTCATGGTAGTGTTACAGGTGGGAGTGTGAGGAAGCTAGCTTCGTTTTGTGGCATTGTGGTCTTGAGCCAACTTAATGTCATGTCTCTAGGTTTGGACTAATGGCCTATGGCCCTATGCATCTTCATTGGATGTGATTGGTTTCTTTGACTCTACATTTTCTGATGCTGGGATGCTTCTTCATGCTCTCTTCGGGTTTGATAGGGTTGAATCCACGAGTAGCAAACAGGTAAGGCCGGCTTGTGTTTGTTGTGCATCGTAATAAGACATAAAGAAAGATCTTTGAAACCAAATATATACCTTTCTTTGTGCATGATGTGCCTGAGTTGCAGTCCCAGTTTCTCTCTATTAATTCTTTTGAATCCAAACCGGTTTGAAGGGAATGAAAGTTGGTGTTGATTCTGGAATGAGATCTGCAACTTAGAAGCATTGGGTTGTGTATTGATTCACTGACAGCGGTTTTCTCTCTGTCTTAGTTTTATTTTGATTTGTATTTTATCTGCATAACACACATCAAAATCTGAGATCGATTTATGTTGCCATTTCCACAGGTCATCCATTCTCTCTTGGACTACCAGCCTACTATGTGGTGCATGATGAGTATATCAATGTGGACAGTGTTTTGGTGCAGATGGAAAGATTATTAGTGAGAACCTTCGGACTGGTGTCATAATATTCCCGTTTGTTTCTTCTTGCAACACTCTTATTATTATGCGTGCGATCGGTTCACGATCCCCAAGGATGTTGCAGCCTGTATGTCTTCCCTCGAGAATCTTATTAAGGCAATCATTACTTTCTGTTAGGAAAAAGTTTTGTAAAGAACATGAACACACGTTGAGCTGGTTACTGTTATTATCCAAGCTAAGATTATTGAGAATAACAAATGTCATGTAAGTCGCAAAAAGTTATGATAGATCATGTCATCTTAAACAAAAAAAAAATGGAAGATGTGTTTACTCTAATGTGTTAGTTCTTTTGTGTACTAACGCATTGAACACAGTCCATAACATCATTTGAATTCGTATTCTTTGAAAAATGTTTTAAAAGGACCAAAAATTCATAAACAACATACAAAATAAGAAATAATATATATTGGGCATATCAAATCTAACCAACTGTCATCCTAAATATTATTACTTTATTTACTATAATAATCAAAAGAAATTTGTGATCTTTAATAAAACTAACAAATAAATTGTGAAATTTCCATTAATACCTAAAATCACATTCACATTTTCAAATGCTCATTCAAATGTAAGATGTTTCTATATTATCTTCTAATTTACAAAGATACTATCTTGTAGCACTTAGAAAAATAGTCTAAGAAATGAATAAGCAAGTTAAAGAAAAATGTTCCATCGCTACTCAAAGGTCCAAGAAGATCTGGCGAGGCATATTTTTCTTACATGCACAACCTGACACAACTATGTTTATGGAAGCGTTAAGTATTCAGCATCTAAATTATCTTTCATCCCTCTAATTGGTAACTATATATGTGATAACCAATCTGTCAATGCGGGATGTCAAATACCAAAATGTGCTGAAAAACAAACACTGAAAATTATTTGATAGTATATATTATAAAATCTGTAATCTGTTATTTTAATGACATGGTTGATCATCAAACATAATATTTATTGGAAAAAAACAGTAGTAAAGGAATTCAAGAAAAAACGCTCAGAGGCGAAAATGATTTAGGATTTGTGTTCTTAAAACCTATTATCATAATTAAAATATAATCAATATTTTTACAAAAAGATATTAAACAAAACAATTACATATTCATGTGAAACTTTCAATAATGAAATAATTATAATCTCTAATAATAAAAATAACAAAATAAATTAATAAAATATTTAAATACCAAAAAATAAAGTAATGGTTAACTGAGAGTAAACTAATTAGTACATTTTTCAAGTTCATTAACACAATATCAAATAATCAATGCGTAGCAGATCTATCACTATAAATCTATCAAAGGACTTAACCATTTTCGCAAATCTGCAGATAGAAACTATCACAACAGTAAATATCTTTATGGTACATTAATGTTGTGCCGAGGTAATTTAAATATTTGGATAAATTATCCTGGAAAAATAGTCAATTCAGATCCGATCAATGTTCGACCATGATTAAGAATTCATTTACTGGACTCAAAATCATTTTGATACAAAGTATTTAACCAATATATCCACAGCGAAGCCTCTGATAGATTGCCCCATCCATGACATGAACAAAACATGTGAGGATTGTTATTACTTTAAAAGGATGAAATAATTTATTATCTTTTTTCAAACAAAATAATCACAAAACAAACACATTCATTTACATGCTTTTCTTTTGGAGCATCAACTTTATTTTATGTTTATAAGTTCAACTATATCTACTTCAGTGCAGCTATCAGTTATTTATTTATTTTTATTGAATTGATTAGTAAAAACCACTTATGTTATTCCTCTTTGTCCTAAGCAACTTGAAAACAAAGTAACATACTACTGTCATTAACCACTATTAAAAAGATTAAAAAAAATTTGAACTCATCAGAAAAAAAACATACGAATCCAGCGCATAGCGTCGGCATATCACTAGTGTTAATAATAAAGAAAACAAAACCTAAAAGTCAAAACACATGAGAAATTACAGAACCGTCCACCTGGATTCTTGGTGAACTCGTGTTCAACAATACCATCAGTAGGCATGATTTAGTTTTTGGTTTGGTTTCGGTTAACGTATTTTATTTTTTGATTTTCCGTTTTATAGATTTAGGACCTGTTCGGTTATTCACAAATTGGGAACAAAGTTGGTTCTAGTTTCAGTTTATGGTTCGGTTGGGTAACAAAATTGGGAACCAGCTACTATCCCGAAAAAAATTTGGGTCTAATTCAGTTTCGGTTTGATTCTGGTTTTAAGATTAAATATCAAGTAATTCAAATTTTAAGATAAAATCGGGTACAAATAGCATATAAGGTTAAATATAGACTAATTTGGGGTGCACAGATAAAATATCAGGTATTTAGATAATTTTAAATATTTTGGATAAAAAATTAAGATAATTTGAGTTTGGGATATTTCTGTTTTATATATAGTATTTTGGAGGATATTTGGCTATTAGAAACTAATATAATTGATATTTTTAAGTATATAATATATCTTATAAATTTTTGAGTATCTATTCGGTTGTTGGTTTTGTTTTGGTTTCGTTTTTAGGTTTTAGTAATATTGAATATGTGTGGTTATTTAGAAATTTGGTTTGGCTTTGCTTTCGGTTATTTTGGTTCGATATATTTGATTCTTCAATTCCTGATAAATATGTCCATGCTTAATCATAACACTCTTTTTTTTGTCCTCGAATCTTTGCGTATAAAAATATATAATAATTGTTTTAAACATGTACGTCAAGCCGAGGAGATTATTGATTTTGTAAGAGCATACGCAACAGAAATCTTTAAAGAGGAATCTTTAGAAACAAATAATTAAATAATCAATAGATTTCACCAAAAATTAATAATTTAATTCTTAAAATTTCTAAATAAGTACTCTTTCTTAACGAATTAATGCACTATTTACGGGCTTCATGACATATGGCAACTCACGTTTGGTTAAATTTTTTCTTTATTATCTGATAAAGAAAAAATAAATAAATTAAAAACTAAAAACTAGGATAATACCATTGCGGATCCAAGCTTAAAGCTGTATGGCCCCAGACTGAATGATCGTGTTATCCTCCAAATCACATATCCCACTGTCAGAGCAAACAGTAAGTGGTCCAGATTTATGGGGGAAGAAGAAAAACGTGTAGGGCGAAAATGATTTTAAAATGCCAGATTTTTTACTTTTATCATTAACCAATACCCACTATGCTACATGATTTGATTTGATCCAGTAACTCCAACTTTTTAATAGTATGTACACCAAAATAGTAACATATAACTAAAAGCATTATTATCCCATCATCCCACTAAAGGTGTTTATTTTTTTATTTTCTTTTTTTCTAATTTTTTTTAGTTAAAAAAATTATAAAAGTACTAATTGCGGGTCGAACTCACGCACAATGCAAACATCACACAGAACAAAACGTTTCATTTGGCACCAGAAATACTAGATTCTCTCTTTTCTGTAGGCCTCCTATCCTAAAATCTGTCCTAAACACTTCTCTTCTTCTCTCGTTAATCCTGCTCTAATAATATATATTTTACCAGCTTCTTCTATTGGTAGAACTTTCTAAATTGGAATACCTAAACAAACCTTTATAAGATGACATTATATAAGGATATAAAACTTTAAATTTTAGAGTACAATCTAAAAATAAGCAAAAATTACTTTGAATAACAAAACTAGAACTTAAATGACAGAAATACGTGAACACCAGCTTCTCTCTAGGTTATATTGGCGGACAAAGCAACTGATAGTGCCTAATCGTGATTTTTGAGCTTCGCCTAAATTTTGATTATTTCGTTTTCTTCCCTCCACCATCTTATTTCATTATCAAATATCTCATTTCCATATAGAGATTGGTCATATCAAACCGATCAATCCCACCTAAATATCAATTGGGACCAAGTTTTGATATATGTTTTTTTTTTCTAACTTAAATCAAGTATTGGTCGGTGAAAGAATTTCCTATTGATTTAAGGTGTCGGCCAAGTCTAATTTACTTGAGAGAAAATATCATTATCAATATTATTATTTCTGATAAAAAATGCTCCATACATTCAAAAGATAACTGAAACTGAAAGCATTTAAAAACTTTCAAATTTTGGAAAACATCAAATTTCAAAAATAAATTGGCTAACTTAGGGGATTTTCGATTATATTCGCAAGGTCCCAGAAAATTTAACCACCAATGCATACTTGCAAAATTTAAATACTATATATTTTTATTGTGCATATTTAATAAAATGCTGATTTGTACACCGTTTTATTTACATCAAGTGCAACATTTGTTTGTTGCTGCATACTCTGATCCAAGTCCAAGGCTTGTCAATCTAATCTTAAACTTTTGGTCTAAAAATTTTAAAGTCCCTTGATAAAATACATTTGAATTGTCAAAAATAGAAACTTGCACATACTGAAACTAATAACATAAGAGACTAGAATAAATAAAAAAATTTCAATGGGATTCTCCTAAAACAAACCATGAGTAAATCGTCAAAAACGTCGTCGTATCTTCGGGTAAAACTTTGTCAAAGTCGCAAGATAGGCTTTTATCGTGTTTTAGGTCTTTTCGAGCCGTTTTGCGATAAAACCGTTTTACGACTTTATACGAGATAGTTTCCTGATGCAATGCCGTTTTTAAATAAGTTTCTCGAGTTAATCGTAAAGTTTGGCAATGTTCGATGTTTTGTTTAACCGTTGCCGTTTTCTACGATTCACTCGAAGTTTTATTAAAAACGCGTTTTTTACGATTTCTCACGAAAAATCTTGAGTAAATTGTATAGTTTAGGCAATGTTCGGTGTTTCGTTTAACCGTTGCCGTTTTATACAATTTCCTTAAGTTCTTTCGAGAAAACAAGACTTTACGGTTTTTATCGTAAAACTCGAATGATAGGACGGATCGAGATGAAACGAGGGACATTTCGACCGTGGTTCGGGGCATGGTCGTGCCGAAGGACGTAGGCCCTGAATTGAGGACGTAGGAGATCGAGACTCGGGATAATTAGGTCGACGTACGACGAACCGAACCGCAACAGTTCAGCTCGCCGTACGGCGAACTATACGGGACGCCCCTAGCTCGCCGTACGGCGAGCTAGTCTTGGTCGAGATAGCTCGCCGTACAGCGAGCTAGCTCGAGGCCACTTAGCTCGCCGTACGGCGAGCTAGTTCGGCCGAACCAGCTCGCGGTTTACGGCGGATGCTGTTTTTTGCGGTTTTATGCTTAACTCGGAGGATCGTGTAATCG